AAACGTGAACATGGGAGCATGTTCTTGCTGATTTTCAGCTGTTCTTCTGGCTGAAAAATGGGATATCTGGGGTTTTAGATGATCCCGGAAGTGGCGGAAAGTCTTTGTTAAAATTTAAATCCCGGTGGTGGGGGTTTCGGTACATTTCCGCTACCTCTTCCAGTCGAGAGGTCTTACGAGGATTTTGAGTGACTTTTTTTTTTTAATCGCTTTCTCGTGTTGCCTTTAAAGACAAAGGGACTATCTCACCAACCTCTGGCAAAATGGAGTATGTGTTTTTGTTTTTTGGGGTAAGGCAAATGAATTTGGAAGCCATCAGTAATAATAACATTCCGTTTGGTGCTGAACTGCGCTAGATTAAGAAAGATAAAGTGCAGGTTGTGCTTAATAGGCCAGAAATGGGGTATTTAACCCTACTATAACACCACTCAGTATGAAAGCGGATTGAAAAAAACTTCAATAGGGAAAAAAAACTAGGGTAATTGATTCTGGTTGGACCTATCCAAAAACTGATGATGGTTGGACCTATTTTTTGAATCGCTAGTTTAGTCAATCTTCGCTAATTTTTTTTTTTTTTTCAAAGATCACTTTACTATCATAAAAAACTCATTTTCTTCAATTTGCATGGGTGTTTTATTGAAAAAACTTCAAAACAATTGAGTTTCAATGAGTTTTCAAAACAGTTCACTTTCCACGCATTAGCTCGTCATTATGCCTTACTTTCAAACATACAAAAAAGGAATACTTTTTACATTTATTTTTATTTTCATGCAGTAAAATACTGCTTTAAGGTGTAAACAACACGTTAGTACGCCATTTATCCATTGGTTTCACTAAAATGTTTGAATAATTGACGAAATTCGAATAGATAAATATGATCATGGTTGTACCTACGCATGATGATGGTTGGACCTATGTGTTTCCTAAGACGGCCGCTAGGTGCGCTTCGGTTTGTCTACATCCTACGCGCAGCTGATTTGCAATTCAATTTCGTTTTGGCCGAGTGATCAGTTTCTTCAATTGAAAAAATGGCTAAAGAAAAGAGTTATACGGTCGAAAATCTTCAAGAGGCTGTTCTTTTAGTAAGAAATAAATCACTTACCGCGTACCAGGCACAGAAAAGGTACAATATTCCGAAAACGACACTTCACGCAAAAACTAAGGGAAGCCACGGCAAGAAATATGGAAGGGAAATAGTGTTGAGTGTTGATTTGGAGAATCAGTTAGGGGATTGGGTTTGTATGTGTTCTGCTTCTGGCAGTCCCAAGACGACCAAAAAGATCTTGGAAGCTGCTAAAGACCTTGCGTCACTAGTTGGGCGTAAATTTAAAGGAGGAATTCCATCGAACTACCACGAAAGCGCCGAAAGAATCTGTTAATATGAATTTACATTAAGCACTTCTCATACACCTTCTGTGCGTGAATTAACTTGAAATAAAATGTTAACAAACTAAAATTGCTACCTGAAGTTATTTCCGAAAAAAAAACTTTAAAACCGGAATAAAGTTAAAGTTCTGATATTCTGTCATTTTAAGGCTCTAAATTCCCCAGGGGCACCCAGAACATGCCCGGAAGTGGCCAATGTGGTCCAAGGCACTCAATTTTGTTATTGGTCTTGTTATCGAATTTGAAAGTAATGTGAAGTGTCGCATGATAGGTTTTATTCCTTCCATGTCAAAATTAGGTCTATGTTCCATAAACCCTGGAACTTGTTCTGGCTATATCTCCGGAACTAGTTGACCGATTACAAAAATATTCGATAGCTTTCAATGGGACCACAATACCTATACTTTGAAGTTAAAAAATTTCCAAATCGGGTCAATGATTTCCGAGAAAATGAGCCATGATTAATAGCTAATACGTGGAAAGTGGACTTTTTTTAAAAAACGAAGTTAAACTCAAATTTATTGATTTTATTAAATAGAAAATTAATAAAAACTGTATAAAAAGGATTTTTTCATGGTACCAATAAGCTCTTAATAAAGCTTTTGAAAAAATATGGGCTAAACTAGCATTTGCAAAAATAGGTCCAACCATCATCATTTTTTAGGTCCAACCAACATCATAATTCTTTGCTGAATAAAAACGTTTTATAAAATCATTTGTTCATAATATTTAACTTTTTATGTTATTATTAGAAACAAGAAAGGTAGATCTTTCCCCTAATCACGCAATTTTCATAATTATATGTTTAATTCATAAAAAAAAATACAACATGAATGTTGACGTTACGTCAGTTACCCTATTCCAAACAATACAAAACTGTGTCGCCGATGCAGCTGGGTCTCATTTTATATTGTGTGCAAAAATGTAGCATTTCCGAAAAAATAGTTTAAAAATGTCATGACATTTTTGCAACGCTACAGTTAAGTTTGTTTTGGTTTGTGGTAGATGCTGACAAAATATGTTAAATTTTCTAATGCACTGTAGTAAACTTTTACTGATTAACACTACAAACACAATGCCTCTGGTAAAATGCGTAACGGCAAATTGGCAATGTTTGAAAAATCGTTGCTCAGAAATGTATAGACAGATTTTAAATTTATTGATACCGAATAAATCTTTAAAGTATGCAGTTTTCAATAGAACCAATAGATTCAAAATTCGTCAATAAATGGCTAAGGAATGATTTTTAAAATTTCACAAGTTTGCCGTTACACATTTTACCGGAGGCATCGGGGTGTTTAGGAAACAATTAAAAATGAATTTCACTCTAGTGCCAAAAAGAGGTCCTGTTCGTGGGAGCCGTGCTATGGTCAGTCGGTTAAGGCGCAGCAATAAAACAAGATCATGCTTGGTTCAATTCCCTGCCTGGTCTAGGTATTTTTCAGGTTGCGAAATTTCTCAACTTTCCTGGGGATAGAGTATGATTGTACTTGCGACACAGTATACTAATGGAAATATGAGACAAGCTTAAAAAGTTCTCAAATGACAACTGTGGAACAGTTGAGAATCGGCATAAAGTTCAAGCAGCGGCAACAATCGGTCATCTGAACAAATTTTCCGACGACTAAAATCTTTTATCTAGCCCATATATTGAGTAGGGGCAAACACTTCAAAAATAATGTCACACTAGCGCTGCCTGGCAAGTGAATTCTGAGCTGAACTCTTTACCATATAATAGGTCTTGTTCATCTGCACATCTTTACCCAAGACGGAAACCGTCTAACTAGTCCATATGTTAAGTAAGAGCAAACAATGCAAACTGAATGTCACACTAGTGCCGCCTAGTGAGTTCATTCTGCGCTAAAATCTTTACCATAAAATAGGTCTTGTTTATCTGAAAACTTTGCCAAAGACGGGAACCTTCTATCAATTCAAGATGTTATGTAAGGGCAAACAATTCCACATAATTGTCACACGATCGCTGCCTTGTGAGTGAATTCTGAACTGAAATCTTTACCTCAGGATAGGTCTTGTTCAAGACGGGAACCATCCATATAAGCAGGATGTGTAGATAGCGTTATATAATGTGTATTTAAAAAGGCGCAACTTGATCATTTTCGTTATAGCGCCATCTTGTGAGCAAATTTTGTCATAAACAATAGTTTTGAATTCTTTGTATTCCTGAACATCTTGCAGAAAGAAGCAACATTCTGTATGGTTGGGATCTCGCTATACACTTCCTGGGTTTATTTTTTCAATGACCTCTTCATAATAAGTCTGATAAGTTTAACTGAAAGTACATTAAATTTACTTTACATAACATATGAAATTTAAAAAATCCGTTGAAACTTCGCTGAGACAATTTGAATTTGATTAATTACCGTTGAATCTGGCTCAAGATTTAGCACATTCGCAAAAACCACCATTACTCGATTTGAGAAAAATTTCACTCAAATTCGAGCAGATTTCTACTCAGTCTATGGGTAGCTCTGATTTGGACGAACGTGTGTAAACGAAACTCAAATTTGAGCCAGATTTTACAGCCGTCCAGCACTGGAATAAGAAAGCATGTTAGTAGCCAACCTGCTTGGTATGTTGTCTTTGGTATAACTAAAAAAGTAAGAGGTTATATTCGTAGATTTGACGTAGGATTACGTGCTCGGTATCAATATTCGGCGACTGTGTTAAGGACACCAGTTTTTCCCAGCACGGAAACGTCTTGTTTTCTGACGACAAAATTACGCATTTTCGTGCACAAAACGCACGAAATTTTTGGTTTATTCATTAGTTAATAAAAAAGCAAACATAGCAAACAATACTGTTACGCATTTGAACACAAACGTTTGGTTGCTGAAAACATTATTATCGAGCTTTGGGGATGATCTGCCTGGCGTCAAGCCGAATGTTCAATGAAAATCCACTCTTAAACAACAACCGTTTTGTCATGATGGTTGAGTAATGCTGAGCTATTAGGGTGTTCAACACGGATGAGACTGGCGAGCTGTATGTTGTTTGGAACGAGTGTGACGTGCTTGGCATAGATGAACCACAGCGGCTTACGACGAGCAACTGAATCCGATCAGTAGTGGTGCGGTTTCTTCCTCCTTCTTCGATGAATGGACGCTCATATGGGCTGCAGCTCACTGTTTACGGGCAGCCTTTCGTTGTGTAATGTACTGTAACAATGCTGCTGCGGATGACGATCGACAACACACGTTGATTGAATAAGCATCGTTCGGCGAGCCCGAATTGAATTAGATTTATTTAGAGTTATAAGTGGTCAAAAACTGACCAATTTCCGTAACGCGGTAGATTTTAGTTTTTTTGAAATTCCACCCCAATATGTTGCCGAAAGACGTAATCCTACGTCAAAAAGGCATCTACAGCTGTCAATTGGGGTTTGCATGAAAATTCAGCAGTAACTTCTTCAGTAAGCTACAGATGTCATAGAAGGAACTGCTCTTCATGCAAGGATCTAGTCAATATAAACATATTATAAAAACTTCGAATGGAATATCAACTTTCTAATGAGTCAAATCACACTTCACCTGTAAGTTTCGCCCAAATTTAACTAATGCTTAGCAATTTTATTTCCATGTCTCCAATCCCCACAGGGCCAACTGATTCCAGCAGCGTTCACCAATGGCTACCATTGAAAACTAGCAAGCAATATAAGATCACCATCTTCGCTATTATTTTGGAACGGGGTATGATTTCCATTTGTCCCAGCAACAACAATTAGAACAACAACAACATCAGCAAGCAGAAGTAAACCAGCAAAGCCGACGATGATCACAACAGCCAAATCTTAAAATACACGCGCTACAGTTAGTGAACAGTGTGCAACAACAACAGTCAGCCGAAACGTCACCCAAGACATGTCAACCCGTGAAAGTATGTTTGAGAATCAGAAGGACGAAGTTCGATTTGACATGAAATGCATCCCCCCGTCTCCTCGTCTTGCGAACCAAGCACACGCTACATATGTGTGTGTGTCAAAGTGATTACAAGCTGTGTCGTAGGATATGTTTTGTGAATTCTTCTCGTTTACCAATTCTAGATTCTTGTTTTGTTTTGGGATGCCAATTTGACGGAAGGTAATTTCTAAACGTGCAAACAAAATCCCACCTTTGTAGTAGGCCGAGAGGAACAAATTAGATGAAACCAATATTTAAAAAAAAAAATACTTCAGTTTGAATGGCTTGGTGAGGGCGTGCATATGTTTGAATGAGTGCATCGCAGTAGGCTGACGTCAATTTGAAATAACAAAAAAAAAAAAAAAGACACAAGAAATACGAACACACAAAACGTGCGAGTGCGTCGAACGTGGCAGTTGAAATCTACCAAACCACATACACAAAATGATAATAATGCTAAAGGACAGGTTAAGAAACCAATTCAATGAAAACAAAAATCTACTAACACAAACACACGTACATATATTTTAGGTAAGCAAACAACCCAACAAAAGAAAACACAAAAAGTGCATCATTGTTTAAGACGCTATTAAGAAGCAAAGACATGAGATCATTTGTTTCGAAAAATATTTGTTATTCTCTTTATATTTACTTAATTTTAACCTTTAACTACAATTATTAACTAAAAGTGTAAGCGGATGGATGGAAGCCGAATACTTTAAAGAAACAAATACCAAGTAAACATGTTTAAGAAAACACACACACAAAACAATGAGTGGATGTCAAAATTCACACACACAAACACATACACACATACAATAATTAAGCAAAACTTATTACGTTTCCGTTTTTTGCTGCAAGCAAGCATCTATTAAACAAATATGATAAGTTTTTACTTTTTAAAAGAATTAAAAGGTAATTATGACGACGAAGAAGGTGGAGAACCAGTTGAAGGAGCTAGTGGTCTTAGGTATATATATTTATTAATATGGAAAGGACAGGAACATTAAACGAAAGGAAGCTAACTTTTGTGCGCCATAAGCGAACCGTTTTTAGCACCTACTATTCCTCATTTTAAATTAATGTAAACATTCAAGCCCTGTGTACTCAGACTGTTGTTGTCGCAAGGAACCAGCAGAAGCGAAACTCGTGTTTTCTTCTTTTTGACTGCGGAAAGCAAGGCTTGTATTTCATTTTATTACTTGTTCCAATTTCGAAACGTCAACAGAAGCACATTGTTTATTCGTGAAAAACTGAAAACAGGAAAATTTAAACCAACCAAACAAAGGTCACACCCACAGCATAGAAACATTGGCAAATGGAAAGCAACAAATTAAAATTGTGTACGAAATTGAAATGCGAATGTCAGCGAAAGAAAGGAAAATGCAATAATAATTGTTACTAAAAGTAATGCAGTAAGCAAAACCAAAAAAAAAGAGAAAAATGAGGCCGAGAAATGTGGACGAGGAAACATTCATCATTAGAGCAGAATTAAGAAAAAAAAAATCAAGGAAAATTGTGAACAGATGAATACTTTGGATATTTTTTACACTTGAATGGTAAAAAGCAGCTATCCAAACAAAAAAAGAAAAAAAAAACAAGGAAAAGAAGGAGATAAATTTAATGAGAATGTAAATTATTATAAATACATGAAATATATGAATTAAAGAAAGCGTAATTCAAAGGAAGAAAAAACAAAAAAAAACTTAGTTAAATATAAATTATATTGAAATTTAAATTAAATAAATAAAATAATACAAATATTTAAAACAAATACTATGATAATAAAATAATTATAAATTAATTTTTATCATTCAGACAAACTCATGAACAAAAACCAAATGGGAAAACTGGACAAAACAAAGCAAAAAAAAATAACACTAAGAACGCAAAACCAAACAAGAACAATTTAAATGTGCAAACACGGACACAGATTTATGTGAGCGGATTATTTCAATTTAACTAACAGAAAACAAAAAAAAAACGAATGTGAACTTGAAGCAAATTACATGGAAAGTAAACTCACGAAATCCTGCGAAATGACCCACTCTCATACACACCACTTTTGAAACCGTGAATTTGATGAGCCCATTATTTTGTCCAGAAAAAAAAAGAAAACAGGTGATAAAGAACCACTAAAAACCAGAATTCTCTCACACTTACACACGTCTACGGGCGAACCAACACAGCAAAAGATCACTCACAATAAAGCTAACAAACAAACAAACAAACAAACAAGAAACATGATATTTGAAAACAAACCCATTCAAAGCCCAGTTTATTATTGTGAATTATTATAACTAATCGCAAAGTGGAAAATACGATTATTACTGGAAGAACAAACAAAACAAACAGCAAACAAGAACAACAAAAACAACAAGTGTAACTGCAACTGAAAAGACGCGCATCTTTCTGCTGCAGAATGCAACCAAAAATGAATACAGATAGCGAGAGCGAGAGGAAGGAAATTGGAGCAAAAAGAAAAGAGGAGAATAATAATTAATTAACACACATCAAGAAACAACTAGTCTTTTCTTTGTTTACCTTCCGAACAATGATTTTTGGTTTTGATTTGATATTTTTTCCTATCCCCGTCCCCTGGTAGAAAAGAAATCTCCATTTTTGCAACGGGGTTGAGCTGGGAGCGTTTTGATTCGAAATCGTCGTCGTTGTTGTCGTACTCCACGCTTTTTCTTCCTCCTTGGATCGGGTTGTTGTTTTGTTCGCCATTCTGTTTGTTTCTCGAACGTCACCGCCGCCGTTGGTCGCCGTTGCCGTGGGAGCGAGCTCTGTCAAACGAAAACGCGATCGCGAGTTCAAAAGCCAATGAATTTTGCAAATCGAAATTAAAAAAAAAATAAACGCCGGTAAGTTGATTTTATTGCATTCGATTCGTTTTTTGGTTTGTTTCACTAACACTAAGTATGTAAGACAGGCGGAGAAGTGACCGTGAAAGGCGAAAGCATTTCGCGATCGCTTCCACCGTTGTCTCTCTGTTGATTTGTTGTGCTATTTCGTTGTTGATTACACGAAACGGTGACAGCTGGCGCATTCGGTTCGTCATCGTGGTAGGCTTTTGTGTTTTGGTTTTTATTTGAAGTGTTTTTGTTTCATTTGGATTCGCTGTTTTGGATTCGCTGTTTGAAAACGTCTCAGCTCAGCTTCCACTATCGAATCAGTGCCTACTTTGTGCTTTAATGACATCCACTTTTGATCAGTGTTTGACCACGGTTAATGTAAACATGTTTGCATAATTTCCTAATTATTCTCGTAGGTTGGCTACTTTCTTTATTACGTTTTTTTTATGTAAGTGTAAAGCATGTTGTTCCCTTCCATTACAAATATCTGATTTCAATTCAATGTTTTCGTTTGTAGAATTTTACAGTGTTATTTGAATGTTAGGCTTACACGGACCGTTACATAAAACTTGAAACTGACACTTACAAAATAAATGTTATACAAAAACACTAATGCTTAGTTAGACAACTGTTTCATTTGATAATGAATACTTATTTTACGGGAAAATCGAATGTTATTTTTATACATACTAACATAACGCAAACTACATCAAAACAGTGAACAACATAGGAAAGAATAAAATGTCAGCACTTGGAAAATGTTTTGTTTTCCCGGTCGTAAATAACCAATGAAGCTTAAACTAAAGAAAAATACCGTATTTTAATCGAGAAAAACCAAATCAAGGAAGAGAATAATATTGAATTAAAACATATTTCAACAGGGTATAATTAAATTTAAACAAATACTTGAATTTTTTGTATAAATAATCAAACCAAGTGAATGATACAAAGCAAGATCAATAAACACTTACATTTATATATACAACCATATTTTACTATCGAAGAAACAGATAAACTGTAAGAACTATATGCAGCATCCACAACTAGTCAAAACCAAGCAAAAAAAAAACAAATCGCCAATTTCCATTAAAAAAATGCAAAATCCCATCTGTCAACAGAATATGATCTATAAAATAAAACACAGCGTTGTTTTACAGATTCCCAAAATAATAAAGCAAAAAATATTCTCACTTATGTCATTATCGAAAACCAGCAAAAATTATATACAACTATATAAATCAATGCCATTCAAAATCAACCCAAACAAATACACATCTAAACAAAGGAAACGTAATTGTTTTTGTAAGAAATATTTAAGAGCAAACACAAACATCATATTTTAAAGAAAACAGACACACACAAACACACACACACACACAAACACACACACACACACACACACACACACACAAAATCTCATTACTAAAGAAAAACAAAAACCAGAAAACAACAATTAAATGAAAGAAAAATAAGTAAGTTAATAAAATGAATATATGGACCAAAGCATATGAGTAATGATGGCTACTCGTTAGAAAATGATATACACTTATTAAATGAGGAAGTAAAATTGTAAACAACGTATTTACCGAACGAAACCAAGAAGCATGATGAGACACAGTTAGTTGATGATTATAATTAGTATAATATAACAACAATAATTACTATGATTATTGCCAGTTGTACTGTTTTCTTCTGGCAAGGATTCTTTTCCAGTGCAAAGAAAACATTAGCACATCCGCAAATGGAGAAGGATCCTCATCACACCCACTCTAGGATATTTGCTAAGTCAACATGTAAATAGAGGAAACTTTCTAAGGCATGAACAAATCATAACGCCATTCCTAGTACTCCCATTGTTCCCATGTCCCCAGTTGACCCCTTAAATGCTACAAGTTCTAACGAAGGCTGTTTTGTAAATAATCGTCTTTGATTACTTTGCAGCGTTTCTTTACTATTATTCGCTCGTTTTTCGTTTAAACTAAGCTAACTAATTTCAGTACAGTAGAACCCCATTAAGAACGCAAAACAAAAAGAAAACAGCAATGCAACTTGCGCGCTGCCTACGTGTCAATTACGAATTACTGGAAGAAAATAAAAACCTCTGAGTATGAAGATTTAGTTTTTGCTACAAAAAAAAAAGTATATGGAAACAGAACTTACCCTTCCAGATTAGATGGAACGGTTTGAAGGAAAAGGGAATAAGCACAGAAGAACCTAATTGTGACATAAAATGAATATATATAATAATGACAGCAGGAGTAGTAGTATGAGTTAATTGAGGTTACTTTCGTGATCTATTTCGATACAAATATTTCGGTTACAGGTTACTTGAATTATTACAAATTATGTATCAACTTAACAACGAAGAACTTTTCGTCTGATTGCAATACTTACAGGTTTATATGTATTGGAAGTAGGTTTAGTGAATCATTTAGCAAGACATCTAAATCAGGTTGTGGAAGGGGAGGTGAGTCCGGCTTGACACTTTGTTTCGTTTGTGTTTGTTTTGGTTGAATGCTGTTTAAACTGTATCAATTTAATCCTCATACCATACACGGTCGTAGAATTTGACTCAAGTTAAGTGATCCGTTTACTCACTTTAGCTAAAATCACGGTTACTCGAAGACTGAAGAACAAATCTGCCCAAATTTAGTGACATTTACTTGAATTCGATCAGATTTCGCTCAGTCCACGAATAACCTTGAGCTAAGTGAAACAGTGTCAGTGAGATGAGTCCTATGAAAGCATAAAAAAATCTGAATATAAAGGTTTTGTGAACGAACAAAGGTATTTGATTTTTGCATCTATTTCGCGCTTGCACAACTGAACAAATTGCATCTGTCAACCATATTAAAAATTGCAAACTGATCAAGCCATCAAATCAAAGCCAGCCATGAAGCGGTTATCGTTTTTATTTTTCAAAGACAGTGTTGCCAGAAAGCCCCATGGCATAAGTTGTCCAATGTGATTTTCTCAAAACTAGCGCTAGACGATTTAGCCCGACAACCATTTGACGGTTCTTATAGGATAAAACTAAATTCTCTCCATGAAACACATAACCATAAGAAATTTTACAATTTACCATCTCACATATCGCAAGCACATTAAACAACGAGGCCAATTTTTTAGATTTCAATTTAAGATGATCCCACGCTTATGCCGGGATCGTTTTCCAACCCACAAAACAAAACTCAAATAATATAACGGTGTGGAAAATAAATGTGCTTCACTACCTACTGGCCGAGGCTCCTGGCTTCCTTCTTCGGTGGTATCACGTAGCCACGTTTCAATCTCATTCCGCCCACCACGTCGCGTCGCATCGGAGAGCCGTGAATCGAAATGCTGATTGATTGACAGTGATTATTTTAATCCGCCTAGCGAAAATTCTCTTTTCACTTCCCGGGGCTGGGACTAGTTTTTCGCCACCGACCGGTGGCCGTCGTCATCGTCGTCGTTTTCGATTGTGACGGATATCGTTTCATTTGTCCTTGTTATTTTTTCGAGTGCCATCCCTGCCCTCGTCCCTGCTCGCCACTCTTCCCTTGTGTTTTTTTTTTTTATATTATCAACCACAGCAGATCAAGGTACCTCGGCATGATGCAGAGGATTCACTTGTGAATTTTAATTTCAATTACCTACCTACTTGTGATTCCGATTGGACAGGTTTATATTTCATGTGATTCTCTCATTTTCGCGCTCTTCTATAATTGGATCGGATGATTTAATTTCATGGTGGGATTCACCTATAGAAGTGCTTTTTGCCACACTGACGAACGGTGGGCCAATGAACGCATACCTATGCAGGCCTGATCAAACAGTCGTCACCTGATAACCGTGGGCTATCATGTACATTGTACAATAAATTTGAAACCCTTGTTAAGCGTCCTTATAATTGAAAAAAAGATGTAGTTTATCTTTACCAATTATCTATTTTTTTTTTGGCACACATTTGAAAGAAAATTTCACCATGCAGTAATTCCGCCTGCTTTATCTTAGTCAGTAAACTTACTTACTTAACGATCCTGCGCACCTCCAGGGGTGCAAAGGGCCTTTGTGAAAGATTTCCATCCTGGGCGATTACTAGCATTGGCCTTAACCTGTGCCC